ATGTATTTGTAGCTGCTGGCAAACTGTATCTCAGAACCATTCAAGGAGAGAATGTTCTGAGGACAGACAGCTTGAGGGAGATATTTGTTAAGAGATACATTTTGTTTTCAGTGTTCAGTTTTAAATGAAGATGAGAAAAAATGTGTTCGATATTATTGAAACTAATTTATAATGCAGAGAGGGCAGAGTTAAGTGAGGTACTGGTGGTATAAACAGTACTGTCATTGATGTATAGATGGGTGTGAACGTGACAGTTTTTCACACAGAATCTGTTACATTGTTGATGTATATGTTGAAAAGAGTTGGACCAAGTATGTAGCCTTGGGGAGCGCCTTTGTAGCAGATAGCGGGCCTGACAGGTGAACCTACACCCTCGTTAATGCCCCTTTTGCACTGTTCCTACTCAGCCCCAACTCTACTCAGCCATCCATGGAAAGATCCCTACCAGTACTTTTTAGCTGATTTGAGGCTGATTCGGGACCTTTTTTGGTCCCTGCTTCTCCAGTGGGACCTAGAGAGCTGAGTCGAGCTGACACCGGACCGAAACGTGAATGCAGGACACTGATTGATCAGGGGGAGGAGTCACTGCATCTCAGAAACTTTTCACCGATCCGCCATTTGAAATTTCTTGGAACGCTGAGCAGCGGCTGTATCTATTTTTACGATTGTAAAAACAATAATGACAACATTGAAGTCCAGGCGTTTTTTGTGTTTGGTGACCAACGTCAAAATTCGAGCAAGCGGAGTCACTGCAGAGGATCATACAAGCTGCCGACCCGTTGAAGCACGCGAGGTCGGACCCTGAGCCCCGACTTCACATGATCACAAAAGCTGGATTCCGAGCCCTGGTGGCCGGGTGGACCAGGAATCCACGACAGAGGGTAGAAATGTTTTTTTTTTTTTTTTTTTTTTTTAAACGTTTTATGTATAAAAAATAATGTTGTTGTTTTTTATCAGTGAAGAATAAAAATAAATAAATGGTGCCGGCTTCATTGTGAAATCCAGTTTTCACTTTGACTTTATTAAATAATCTGTTAATTAAAGTTACATAACTCAGCTGAAAAATCATAAAAAGACAAAATTATTGGATCGCTCAGGATTATTTCCCTCAAACATGTTTAAAGAACAGCTACGGCCTTTAGTTCAACTTTATTCAAACCCACAGATGCACAAATCACAAAATAAGAATTACACTTTAAATCACTAAAATAAAATCTGTATACAAGAAACAAAACCATCCATCCATCCATCCATTTTCTTCCGCTTATCCGGGGTCGGGTCGCGGGGGTAGCAGCCTAAGTAGGGAGGCCCAGACTTCCCTCTCCCCAGCCACTTGGGCCAGCTCTTCCGGGGGAATCCCGAGGCGTTCCCAGGCCAGCCGAGAAACGTAGTCCCTCCAGCGTGTCCTGGGTCTTCCCCTGGGCCTCCTTCCGGTGGGACGTGTCCGGAACACCTCACCAGGGAGGCGTCCAGAAGGCATCCTAAACAGATGCCCAAGCCACCTCAACTGGCTCCTCTCGATGTGGAGAAGCAGCGGCTCTACTCCGAGTCCCTCCCGGATGATTGAGCTTCTCACCCTGTCTCTAAGGGAGAACCCAGACACCCTGCGGAGAAAACTCATTTTGGCCGCTTGTATCCGAGATCTCATTCTTTCGGTCACAACTCAAAGTTCGTGACCATAGATGAGGGTGGGAACGTAGATCGATCGGTAAATTGAGAGCTTCGCCTTTTGACTCAGCTCTCTCTTCACCACGACAGACCTGTACAGCGCCCGCTTCACTGCAGACGCTGCACCTATCCGCCTATCGATCTCACGCTCCATTTTTCCCTCATTCGTGAACAAGACCCCAAGATACTTGAACTCCTCCACTTGGGGTAGGACCTCCTCCCTGACCCAGAGAGGGAACTCTACCCTTTTCCGGCTCAAGACCATGGCCTCGGATTTGGAGGAACTGATCTTCATCCCGGCCGCATCGCATTCGGCTGCGAACCGCTCCAGCGAAAGCTGTAGATCACGATCTGATGAAGCCAATAAGACCACATCATCTGCAAAAAGCAGAGACGCAATTCTGAGGCCACCAAAACGGATCCCCTCAACACCTTGGCTGCGCCTAGAAATTCTGTCCATAAAAGTTATGAACAGAATCGGTGACAAAGGGCAACCTTGGCGGAGTCCAACTCTCACCGGGAACAAGCCCGACTTACTGCCGGCGATGCGGACCAGGCTCTGACACCGGTCATACAGGGACCTAACAGCCCGTATCAAAGGGCCTGGTACCCCCTACTCCCAGAGTACCCCCCACAGGGCTCCCCGAGGGACGCGGTCGAACGCCTTCTCCAAGTCCACAAAGCACATGTAGACTGGTTGGGCAAACTCCCACGCACCCTCCAGGACCCTGCTGAGAGTGTAGAGCTGGTCCAGTGTTCCACGGCCAGGACGAAAACCGCACTGTTCCTCCTGAATCCTAAGTTCGACTATCCGACGGACCCTCCTCTCCTGAACCCCCGAATAGACCTTACCAAGGAGGCTTAAGAGCATGATTCCCCTGTAGTTGGAACACACTCTACGGTCCCCCTTTTTGAATAGGGGGACTACCACCCCGGTCTGCCAATCCAGGGGAACTTCCCCCGATGTCCACGCAACATTGCAGAGTCGCGTAAGCCAACACAACCCTACAACATCCAGAGCCTTAAGGAACTCTGGGCGGATCTCATCCACCCCTGGGGCCCTGCCACCGAGGAGCTTTTTAACCACCTCGGTGACCTCAGCACCAGAGATTGGAGGGCCCGACCCAGAGTCCCCAGGCTCCGCTTCCTCAGTGGAAGACGTGCTGGTGGGATTGAGGAGGTCTTCAAAGTATTCCGCCCACCGACCCAAAACATCCCGAGTTGAGGTCAGCAGCACACCACTCCCACTATAAAC